TTGCAGTTTCATCATACATAACCCCATTTATAAGCCTGGTAGTCCTTGATATTTCCCTATAGTTTTGCAAGGTGCTACCAGAAGAGGGACATACTGCATTGAGTCAAGCTTCCTAGTCAGCTCCCTAAAATGTTTACTACTCTCAGAAACTAAGGAACAGTGTTAGGGCCAATGAAATGATGATGCACACAACAGATTTTATATGAAAGAAGTTTATTAGATGGAGACGAAGAGAGAGAGGAGAGAGTGAGTCATGATGGGGGAAGGGAGGGGCACACCCTGACAGAGAAAGGGGAGAGTGCAAGAGAGTAAGAGGGCAAGAGAGCAACAAAGTGGCAGGTTGGTCCTTTTAAGGAGTAACTTAACCACACCTATCAGGTGTGGCTACCTGGCAGACACATGATGACATCCCAGGTTGCTAGGAAACCCAGAAGTAGTCTGCCTAAATACTAACATTCCTCCCTTTTACTATAATTAAAAAATGAGGAGCTTGGGCTACATTGTAAGGGAAGTTAAAGCATATAATTTTAGGTTCATTGGAAGCAGCTCTTGGTTGCCATGGAAGGGAGTAAGAGAGAGAGAAAAAAAATACAGCAACGAAATGTCCAGATTACATGGTCAAGAGGAGGAGGGGAAGCCCCTGACCTGGAAAGTTTAGGAAGAGGGTTGCCAGTAGAGAGTTGCCAGCCACACAAGGCAGCAGGTAGAGACTGGGGAATGCTGGGAGAAGCTGGCTACTTGTCCTGGGCCTGACACACACCATTCCAACCTTTTGTTAGTAATAAGTGAATAACTGACATAGAATCTCTTCTGGCTACTTTCTGCTGACACTAGGGGGCGCTGTAGGGAGGTCAAAAGGCTGAAATGCTAGCCAAGTGCAGAACAGGCTGTTTTGATGCTGTCCAGGGTGTGTGAGAACATATATGGCTGGGAGGGAAAGTTCAGGTCCAGCTTGCTGGAAGTCTGTGAGGTCAGACTGGAACACTTGTGGTATCTGCCTTGGCAGTGCCATTGATTTAAGAAATACCTGGGTCTGGCATATATATATATATATATATATATATATATATATATATATATATATATATATATATATAGGCAGAAGACAAAGTTAAGTAGGTTCTGAAGAAATTTTCATTAGGTGTATATTTAAAACTTTTAGGAAAGCGAACAGAGGTGGAAGGTTTGGATCAAAGAGACTTGAACAGGGGAACCTCTGTTAACCTGAGGGAACCTCCATTTACCCAGTAATTAAAACGGCTTTGCTTTTGGATCTGTTATCTAAGGAAACCGAGGCCAAGTTTGGTTACAGACCAGGTGTAAGCTTAGAGGTCCTTAAGGCAGGCACTGGGTGTAGAAATCTGAAATTCTCCAGAAGACATCCCAGAGGAGAATCTGGAGGAACAGACAAATGGACTATTCCCATTGGGCAGGTAGGAGTCAGCGGCCTGTCAAGGTGTCCCAAGAGCAAGGTTTGACTCAGTAGATTGGTACAATCTGTTCCAACAACTTGTCAGCATTAGCCAGAGACCAAGGGCACAGTTGCCTACTGCTAGGATTTTCGTAGATCAGTGAGAAGGGGAAGACAATGCAGCCAGTCCTGAAGCGACCAGATAAACTCAGGTCAGATGGAAGGGGAGGAGGACCTCCAGTATCAGTGGACTTGGAAAGGGGCAGGGAGGAGATGAGGGAGGGATGGTGGGATTGGGAGAGAATGAGGGATGGGGCTACGGCTGGGATACAGAGTGAATAACCTGTGATTAATATAAAAAAATAAAAATTATTATTTTTAAAAAATCAAACATTTAAATAACCTCCTGTCCACGAAAAATAAATAAACACTACATGAACTATTTTTTCAGTTACTTTTGCCAAGTACACATCGCAGGGAGGGGGCGCCAGGGCAGGTTAGCAAGTGCCTTCAAGGGAAGCAGAGCCAAGGCGCGAACGCCTCCTCGCAGCCCTCACTTGGCGCCAAAACACCCTGGAAGTCCCGCTCTTTTTGCTGTCACTCACGGGACGCTGGACCTTGTAGTCACTGGCCGCCTTTCTTTCCTTTCCTTATTGTGATGGAACCCAGGAAAAAAAAATACGAATCCCAGAAGGCGCGGCGCGTGAAAGTGGGCGGGACTAGAGGGCGGACACCAGGCTTTCCTGAAAGGATTCAAATCCGCCGGACTGAAACGCGGGAGGAGCCGGCGCCGCGCCTTAGGTAGGAGAGTCCTCCCCTTCCTGGGATGGGGACCTGCGTGCTCGGCGGCCGGCGGCCGGTTCTCTCCTCGGCGCCCGCCCCAACAGCACGTAGGCTGAACCCAGCCCGACCGGTGGGGGCTCCCCGAGATTAGTCTTGCGGGGGTGGGAGGAAGGCGGGGGGGTGGCTCTTGCTCCGCTCCCCCACTCCTTAGACAGTTGACAAACTAGTGGCGGGAGGTGTCGGAGATGGCCCAGAGTTAGCCCGGCCCACTCTTCCTGAACACCCAGATTAGGTTCATGGTGCCCACAGAAGGACCATCCCACTCACTGTTACTCCAGTTCGGGGATCTGTCGCCCCATTTCGGCCCCCGGGGGCATTGTTGTGCTCAGACTTACATGCAGGCACACCAACCATACACATAAAAGTAAATCTTTGAAAGGTGGGTGGAAGGGCTCGGAAGCTCACTCAATAGTTCCACAAGGTTGGTTCAAAAAGAAGAGGCATAAATGAGATAGTTTGTCAAGCTTTCAGTACAGATAATTTAAATTACTAATGATTTTTTTTTTTTTCTGGAGTATGACCAAGGCACCACAGAATGTCCAACTGAAAATTTCACTGCCTCCTGTGGAATTCCTCTGACAGAAGGAAGCATTTTATTACTGGTGAGAACCTGGGAGGAACAGCAAACATTTAAATACAGTGTAACCTCCTAATAGACTTTTTTTTTTTTTTTTCAAAAATGCTCCCCAGCTTTAGTTTGTATCAGTGGTGGAAGGGGAGAAGGTTCATTGCAAATACATGATCTTGTGGTTTTTGTATTCTTTTGTCCACCAAATTGCTCTCTATTTTTTCTATTTTAAAGGAAGCCCACAGTTCAACACTGACATTTCAATTCTAACCACAACCAATTGGGATCATAAACAGCCTAATCAAAAACAGTCACCATGGGGTTAATAACTATAAAAACTTGAAAAGGGAATTGTTGGTAGCTGAGTGAATAGAGATTCAGATGTACACGAAATTCATGTTATACCCTGAATCCCCGATATACAGGGAAGTGTAAACATTACAAACTAATTGTAGGTAAACACAAATTATCTTTATGTTGCCAAGTATCTCAAGGGAGATGTTCTCAGCCATGCTTTCATCTTACTCCAGGGTCTTTTAGACTGTTGGCTGAAATCAGGCCTTAAGTCTATAGCTATATGCCATTCCTAGCTGAATTATGAATTATTTAGATTGTAGTTCTTGGTCACTGATAGATTCAGGGACAGTCATCCTTAGCTCCTAACTAGGCACATAAGATAGATTCATTTTTCTAAAACATCAGTCTTAAAACTTAATTGAATAGCTAACTATAACCAGAATTTCATCCTGGTCCATTTTAGGTACATTTATATCAAGACTATGTACCTGTCCAGTATACCCAGTAATCAATAGCTCTTATAGAAATTACTGAAAGTCTGGTTTATGAGTACATCAGATTGATGGTGAAGAACTCAAAGCATCAGTGACTTTCAGTAAATATTAAAGTAGCAATTATTACTAAACTCAGTAAATGCATGGTGTAGAGAATCATCCTCTCTTTAAAGATAATGTTCTTTGGGAGCAGCAAGAAACAAAACATGCAGAAACAACATATTTGCTTTAAAAAAAAAACATTCAAAAAGAAGGGAATGTGCGTGGGATTAGGAGGAGAGGAGGGAGGGGTATATGAGGGGATAGAAAGTGAATAAAGTGTAATTAATAAAAATTAAAATAAAGAATGGAGAAAAAAAGAAAGGAATGTGCTTATGGTCTCCCATGTACAATTCAGATGTGTGGCCACCTGTTTTATTCACTCTACCTGTCAGTCCTCACAAAACATATGAGAAAAACAATGTGAACTCTGTCTTATAGACTGAGAGGCTGAAGTCAAAAATTAAATAAAGTTCTTTAAGTTATACCTCAAAGCTCTATGGCTCAGAATAGGATTCACAGTTTGGTCTGAAAAGGTTGAGTGTATTTAAACTCTGCCCTGTAGGTGGCATACGAAGACAATTGACTAAAATATCACACTATGAAGAAAACTTCCAAGGAGAAGAATTTGAACGTTCCTGGTACAGAATTGAATTCTGCAAATGCCGGAAGGGGAAAAAGAGAGAGTCCAAGTAACTTTGTTGAACTGCTGCCCCCGGAAGTCACTTTTAAAATTTTCAGCCAGCTAGATGTTCAAAGTTTGTGCAGAGCTTCTAGGACATGCCTGAGTTGGAATCGCACAATCAGAAGTAGTGACTCCTTATGGAAACCTCACTGCTTGACTCTAAGAGCTGTGTGCCAAAGAGAAATAGATGATGACATAGAAAGTGGTTATACCTGGAGGGTAAGTTTAACCTTCGCAACTTGTGTTTTTGACAGGGTTTTTGTTGCGCAGTTAAGACAATTCTATAATTTCTACTTAGAGTAACACGCAGAGTATGCTGACTTTAGGAAAGGAATAAAAGTTGAATTATTATCCTTTTTCCACTTGGCGTGGTATCTACACTATCTTCCCCCGAGCCTTGTACATCTCTCAGGTCTTGAAGTAAGGAACTTTCCTTGTTAAGCAGAAGGGAGGTGAGGAAGACAGTTTCCTTTCATTCCACCTTATGAAAATCTCCAGTACACACAATGGGCTGCTCTCTGTATATATACCAATCCACACATGCATGCATGAGTTTATGATTACTATGTGTATTTTCACATCAGGAATTAATCTCAGTTCTGTGACTGAGTTTCTCTACTCTCAGACATACTCACTAGCCAACCACGCTGCCTGAGCCTCTTTGAACCATGATGTCTGTCCCTTTCAGGAAATACTCCTAAGAAATTACCAGAAGAGCCGAGTGAAACATGAGTGGCTGAGTGGCAGGTACAGCAACATACGTTCTCCCATCAGCCTGCCGGAAAGAGCTATGTGCCCAATGGATGCAGACACGTGGGGGGAGATTCTAGACGCAGAACTGGAAAGAGAAGCTGAAAAATCGCAATAGTTCAATGGCACATGATTAAAATGACTCAGGCTGCACAGGACTTTCTAGAATACGATAATGTCTTTCTTGGCCTTTTAAATATTTAACATTTAAAAGAAAACAAAGCTGATTAGGAAGCTTTGTTTGTATTTTGCACTTTAGTTAAAAAACTTTTCTGGTCTTATACTGTGGGTAAAATCATGAAATGTCATTTTATAAGAAATATATTGCTTCATGTATTTATATTAGAATATTGCATTACTTGAAGTGATAGATTTTACAGTTATTTAAACCTTCAAGAATTTGGGGGGGTTGAAGAAACTTATTTAAAGATTTATTATAAATAAGCATAAGCATATACTCATGGGATTAATAACCAAATGAATATTGCAACATGTTTAAATTAATAATAAATTTACATGTTAATAACTTTACAGTTTCCACTTGAGTGGAACAAATTGAATGTCAAATAATGAAGCTACTTTAAAATGTGTTAAACCTCTAGTTTATTTAAACTTATTCTGAATTTGAGCCTAAAGCTCTTCATTATTCTTCTACAAACCTGAGATTAGTCTCAACGGCTGAGAATGTATAGAAAGTTTCAGGACATTTAATGGTTAGACCCACCAAAGGCTGTATTTACTTTAATCAGACTCTTTTGCCAACATTCAATAGCGGCACCTAGCATCCTCTTAGATGCTTCTCCTTTCTTAAAAGGAAAACTTATTCTCCAAGCCCCGTTTGACCTTGTTAAAATGTATCTTTTCAGGGAAGGATCTTTTTTTTTCAACTTTGTTTCTCTTTTTTATATAAAGGGAGATTATGTAGCAGCATTCCCTTTAGCAGGTTATTCCACCTGAATCTGTAAATCACAGTAAAAACTTGTTGAGAAATAGGGTCATTTGTACGGGGCTCTCTATAGTTGCATTCTTTCATTTTCTGTTGCTGTGACAAAACATGACCAAAGTTAGATCTGGAAGGAAGAGTTTATTTAGCTTGTAGTTCTTGAGCAATAAGGGTCCATCAGTTCAAGGAAAGCATAGCAGCAACTAGTAGACACGGAGGTTAGAACAGGGGGCTGAGAATCACATCCTCAGCCAAAAGCATGAAGCAGAGAGAGCAAACTGAATGTAGGGGAGGCCAGAACCTCTCAAAGTCTTACCCCAGTGACACATGCTTTCTCCAGCAAGCACATCTCCAAAGCTGCCCAAACGTTCCTAGCCACCAGGGACCAACAAGTATTTAAATACAGGAGCCTATGTAGAACATTTATTATCAAACTCCCAGAGTTTAAAAAAAAAGTCTAAGAAACCAATATTTAATAACTACACAGACATCAGCATATACAAATTCATTTTGTTGCATCACGTGGATTATCACCAGCTACTGGTGTTTTAAGTGTTGAAATGATCTTGAATATCAGCCAGTGTAGATCAAGGGCTATTCAGTAATTTCCTGAACTCAGACATCCCAAGCTCAAAAACATCCAGTGTATAATAGTCTCTCCATTATATCACAAGGCAGTCATCTCCTAGGATTGCTGTAATCATTAAAAATTCTGCTAACAGAAAACTGTCAATAGCTAGTCCTGCTTCTGCCTGCTCGGACTAGACCGATTTAGTCTTTCTCTAGGTTTGCTATTTGAGTGCTTGAAGACAGCTGGCCTATCTCTTCCTGTTGTCTTCTCCCTACTCCTTCTGATAGTTACATGGCGTAATTTCTAGGCCAAACAGCCTTGTCTACTGCTTATGCCTTCTTAACAAATATGCAATTGGAAAGGAAGATATCCTGCTGATTAGTTTAAGAAGAGATATTTAAAAAGAACTTGAAAATAACAAAGCATCTTACTGTATACAGCAGCATATACACGCGAGTGTAGTTGGCTATTTCTTGTGAAGAGCATTCTGTCACCTTTCCTGTTAGTAAAGAATGCCTAATCAGGGAATCACCCTTATTACTCATGGCCTCCTCTCTGCCACCCACTGCACTGAGTCTAAGAGTGGAGGGTGACTGAAACCACCTGTTTCTTAAACTGGAAGACAAGTGATGAAACTGTTTCCTGCCACAAAGAGAAGTAGGTTCTTAGTCAGAATATTTATCCAACAGAAAAACAAAGGAAGCGGAAGAGAGAGGATTGTGGTGTTTAAACTCGGGTTTTAGTCAGTCCACTTGTCTAAACTGGTACAAATTGCACTAGAGACCCTGCCCTACCCATAGGGCATTCTTACTATTCTGTATGGCACTGTATGGCACTTGTGGTTTACATTAGTTTCTTAGATTTGCACTAGGAGCCCTACCTATAGGGCTTCCTTTGCTGATTTTCAAGTGTGTGATACTTGTAGCTTACATTACTATCTTAGTTTTAGAGATCTCAAACCTTGCTCTGTCCTTCCCTAGTCATGCCAATTTTGTGTCCAATTTTTTTGTTGACTCATTTGACAGTCAGTTCTTGTAATTCTTAGTTTGGAGGCAAGCATCTCGTATATTTCTTTTCACACTGTAACCAGTCTTCTAAATTTTCTTTGGAGACTCACCTTCCTAAATCTATTCACTACATGTTGGAGTTCATGAAGGTTCAGAGTGTTCTCTTCTGATATTCTGAACGTCTACTCCCCCAGTATCTGTGCTTATGGTATCTGTATCTATGAATCCACATCAGATATGCCAATCTGTTAGAATGATAGCTAAGTCAGTAATGCCACCATCAGAGCTCGTTAACTCCAAAGGCTAGTTATCTTTCAGCCCCTACCTCAGAAAGTGGCCAGGGCTTCTCAGTAGTTAACACTGGTTCTGCTTTTCTCCTTCTGTGTCCATCCAGTTCTTAATTGTTTAATTATGGAAATATCTGAGCAGTCCAACCCTTCTCCATTAGTTTTCTCTGCTTCATTACTTCTCCTTATTTGAAGCAGATATGGCTATAGGAGCCTCCTAACCAATATTGCTCCCTCCTAAAAATGGGCCTACAAATCCTCAAATCAGCATGTCACCTCTAGTTTTGATCATTTGCCACATTCAGGTGGAGACCAGATGTCTCTGAGAAGCCAGTAAAGCCTTTAATGATGCAGGCTGGCTTACCGTGAACCTTTTCTCTCACGCCTTTCTCAGTTCAGTCACACCATAAATCATTTCCATTTGCCATTGCCTGGTCACGCTTGCTCCCTTACCTGCCCCTTTGTGGGGTTATATGATAGAAGACTTGCAGGGTTCTCCCTTTCCTCCACCATCAGCTCTTTGACTTAGAAAAATCTGTCACCTGTAAACCATTTGTAACTGTATTATTCTGGATTGAGCTATCTCTTTACAGTTCCTATACATGGTTGTTGTAACATTCTCAGAAGCTGTTGCACTATGTCAAGTTGTCTGTTTGTCTACCTGACCCTAGAGAGTGTGAACATGTTTTAATTTATTTTTTCTGCTGCATAAACCTGTCATATGGCTTATTTGTTATAATGTCTTAGTAATTTATTGTATTATTTATTATTAGTAATCATATGCAGAATATATAAGAAAATATTGTGGATAATATAAAATATGTATTGTTATAGTAACAAATTTTACTATTTGTTATTGTTGATAAGACTGCATTGAAATGCAAAATATAACTCCTGGAATGTATAAGAGGCTCTTAATGTTAAGATATAGTTGATTGTTCTAGTCTTCTTAAAGATATAAGTGGTACTTAGAGTGTTTTGCTATATTTTTAATAAGTACTTGAAAATAAACTCAGTTTTTAAAGTATCCCATACTTGTTATCTTCCATTATTGGCCACCCCAGTCAATTTCTAGTATTATCTTTGCACATTGGATGAATAAACCTAAATTTGTTTTCCATTTTATTAAAATAATTCTTTGAATAAAAATTAATTCTTTGGAGCTCAAATGATGAGCTGCATGGTAATAGCCTAAATGGAACACTCATTTATCAGACCAAACCATTTGTATCTGAGAACATGAGTAGGTGGAGCCAAATGAAAGAAGCTGTGCCCTCATTAACAGATAAAATGCTGTGGTGGTTACACACTGTATAAAGGGAGCGAGATAATTCAAGGGGAATATTAATATTTCCAGTGTTTTTTAAATTTTAATTAGTTTGATTTACTATATAAAAATAGACTTAGAAACCTTTCTCTTGTTATTTCTGATAACCTAGTCTTAGACAGTTAACAGTAGAAAAATGCATAAAAACTGTAGACATTAAGACACTTGTGTATATATAAACCTAATTTGAAAAAATATAGCATATCCCTAACCATTTTAATTTCCCTTTTGCTTTGATTTTGCTTTACCTGTACTCTAAGATTTAAAATGTCCTAACATTATTAGCAAAAATAAGTTGAGTCATAACATTAGTAAACAAATGGAAAAAAGTACATAAGATGAGCAATCTTGTACTTTCATTTCAAGTTAGGTCAAAATCCCCAAGATACCAAGCAGGTAAAATTAGAACTGTCATGAGCAAAGCTGATTAGTTATAGTAGACAACATTCCTTAGGTGCCTGCTCTATACCAGGTAATGGCATTATGGGGTGGGCACCTTCACTTCACCTCCATTTTATGAACTAAGAACTGAAAGTAAATGACCTGGCAGTGTACTTATTCCCACTGAAAGATTATGTAATGCATGGTGAGTGCACAACTAAACTTCTCCATTGAAACCTCTGGGGAGCATCACACAGAAGCTCCAGCTTCAATTCGATTGGATTCCTGACATTAAGAAGGCAAGCAAACCCACAGATGACAGGGTGAGTCCTGGGTATAAAATTCTATCACATGAAGGCACTACGATTACCCATGTACAGCACCTGTGTGAGTGTGAGTGTGCGCGTGTGTGTGCATCATGCTGAAAGATAGTACTAGTTCATTAAAAGTAGTAATGAAAAAAAAATAACTCAGATAATAGAGGCAGAGTCACAGGATCTAGTTAGTGGGGCTTATTGGTAATTTGAAAATATTATAATAATGTTTAGGTGGATAGGGGAAAGCTAAGAAGCTAGATTAAAATAGAAACTTTTACCAGAAAA